ATTTGTACGCGAAATTTTCGATATACGTTTGTCGTGAATCTCTCGTATGGTCATTGGAATGAATTTCATTGTTATTGATGTAACTTTATAATCATATAACTCAACTCATTATGTACTGCCATTGCATTGTATTCTCATACTGCCCATTGCTTTCTGCTTTCATATGTTTCTAGTTCTGCGCTCGGAGCAGTTGTTGTTGCATTACTTCACTTATCCCATGCTTGCAGAGAAATGTAGATATCTGGGCAGTAGCAGGTAACTTGAGAATATTTAAAATTTAACACCATGTTGACCGCCACGTGCCAACCGTTGAAGTTTGCTTGTAAGTATACAAGAATTGCGCTGCCAACCGCGGAAGTTTACAGCAGAAGAAAACCCATAGCCTAATATGTAAGGTTTAAGTAAATATGTAATTTGAATTTCCATTTGATTATAACTGTCCGTTGTTCCAAATGTATCTATGAAATACGGTCTTATAAATGCGCGAAAATTCCAGCGTATGTTTCAATCGAACATATATCAAATATATGCATTCTCTCAGCTTGACATGTTATCGAAATACGAAACATGTTAATGACGACGATTATGATGATGATGATGATGATGATGATAATAATAACAGCAATAATTGTTTGACAAATGTTAATATGTATGTAAGATTGGAGGTTTTCACGGCGGTGACTATGAAGAAAGCAGTCTTCTGGGATTTGGCACCGTGTATATGTGATGTTAAATGACGTTTCGGAGGAACGTATCGCCTCCATCTTCAGGATAGAAGGAAAAATATAAGAAATCGGCAAGTGAAGAGACCGTGAGAACAGGTAAAAGCAGTCTGCTTTCTTCATTAATAAGCAGGTCCCGAGGAATGTCATATCCACATTGAAAATGCATGTTACCCATGAAGCATTTACCATGGTTTGTGGAATAATGTTAAGCTTGAAACATAAGGGATAACAGGAACCTAACGTACAATTAGCTACTAAAGCCTACACTGTCTGATGTATCGAAGCCAGATTCTACAAGACTAATGCTACACAAAGGAACTGGCATACCTCTAAGAAACTGATCCCATTAATGATTAACATCCATCCGCTGCAATCGACAGGACCAGTGAATGATCAGTGTTTTAGAAGTGTGGGGATTATAACTACTACATTTTCAATTAATTGTATTAATTGAATATCTCATTTTGATTATGTACGCTCGTCGTAGCTAAATTATAAATTAATTTCAAAATACTTTGAATTATAAAACTGGTGACACAAATTTAATATATATGTATATATATAAAATACAAGCATAACACTTGATGTATAAAGAACTCGTATTTTTCACGGAGACAACACTGAAAGGTTTTGCTTAAAGATACATAAATACAATATCAGTTTTCCTTTACATAAAATAATTACTGAAACCAAATTTGAACAACTTTTTTCTGCAAATTTAAGACACAATACACATTCGTGCAATACAGAATACAAGTATGTGCAATAATGGAAGTACTGATTTTAAATATACGCTGAACATCAAACAGTTGAATAATAAGTCCCATGACGTTTCATGGCAATAGGAAATTATAATACAATAGTTATACAATAAAATGTATGAAGTACAAACCGGCAGGTCGTGCCGTACCAAGAATCTTCAATAACTGACCCACTCACACAATATACACGTACACGTATGTCATTCACACTCCCACTACCGTCCATTTTGAAACAAAACTGGCAGGATTTTTACATACATGTTATTATTCTCTCTATTGGTTCAGAAGACAGTGTCTTCACCTCTGGGCATATGCGTGCAGTGCCAACTAACTTTCATCCATACCAGTTCGGTTCCTGTACTAACCAATATAACATCTCTTATGAAATCACAGTAAAAAATTCTACAAATTCTGGTCCAACTGTATTTTAAATATACAAGTTTGCAAAATATATTTTTGATTATTACTATTTATATTATTATTTATGTTTATTATTGACAAAGTCACAGTACTTAATTAAAATTACAACTAAGAATGAAGTGCCCTCTGAAGCTTTATATGACGAGATTTATATTACCTTAATTTTTACAATGTATCGATTTTAACAGTTAGTAAACATACTGAGAGGCCCCAGTGGGCTGTTTCTAATTTGTGAGTCACATAATGATCGGTTGCAAAATTGTTCAAGAAGTCTACCTAACTATTTATTTAAGGTTGGTGCACCTTGATAAAAACTTAACGTGATAATATTCTTATCTGCATTGTTGCTGATAATTTAATTATGCAAGATTTTTCATTTGTTCTTGTCACAACAGTGAACACTACATAATGTACATTTCCCTCTGTTCTAACGCAATACTTCTACTTATTGAACTAATACGGTTGTTGAGCTCTGTAAGCCATCTTAAAAATGTTCTTATTGATATCGGTTATGTCATAAGCGTCAGGCTGCTTGCTTGTCCAACATCAAACAGTTAAAATTAGAATAATTAATGCGCTGTTCCGATGTGAACCGATTGGATCGGCAAGGGGCAAGAAGCTGCTGCCTTCTGTCACCCACTCATAAAATAATAGTAGAGAAAACCTGGTTGCAATATTTCGCTTGTCTTCCCTTCAAGCACATTTAGGAAACGTAAGTGCATGTTACAAATTGCATGGAATTTTATTTGATGACACAAAACTTAAAGGCAGTCTTGCATTTTGTTATATTATGTTCTCGAGGTTCGTCAGAAAGTTTATGTTAAAAGGTCTATATAACCCTGTAGACTGCGTTATATGGAATTTATTTTAACGTAGTTCTAGAATTGTTACTGAGAAACAACTAGTTAAACGCCAACTCAAATTTTAGAACCGAATAATTTTAATCTTTCTAAAAATTTAAGTAATTTAGTTAAATTCAGTTTGGAAACGGTACCTTAATATCTTACACCTTGATATCGTGAGACTTAGAATAACAAAAAAGCAAGTTTCTGCTGAAAGCCTTTCCACATAAATGAAGGCACATTGAGGGGATATGTTATGCAAAATTTTTAATTATTTGGTCAGGAAATATCTGGTCTAATTTCCCCTTGTTATTTAAATTTATACTCTTTAGTCGTCTATGTTAGAATTAAACTTGACTTTTCTATATAACTGGACCCCTAAATGTGGCGTGATATTAACATACTACTTCTAATATATTATTATTTTAAAATTGGAGTACGATTTGATCACATCGTTAAACTGAGTCACCTGTTCAAAAGGTGAATTGATACAAAACTTATCCCATTATTCAGCTTAAATATTAATGACCAGTTTGGTTCTGATCGCTATCACTGGCAGTGTCGATGGGGGCCTCACTGCCGCCCTCTGACATTTCTCGATACGAATCTCGCAGTGTTTTGGATTACCTGGAATGTGCTAACAGTATAGTTCAATGAGGACGAATATTCTGTACTGTGTATGGCGCGTGATGAATGCTGAAGAATGTTCGAGTGATTGGCCGACAGTTTTGTTACTTAATGTACCTTTTGCATGAAGGATACGTCATTGTAGTTCCGTGTTAGGAAACGGTTTCGTAGATTATTTTTGTGACAGGATACATGTTCCTCATCCATCAACTTAAATTTTATGAAATATAAATTGGTGGTCAACGTGTATTTAGACAGACCAGAATGAGATCGTGTTGGGTATTTTGCTCAGCGTAGTTAGCAGGAGAGATTACAAGCACACGAATTCAATTTATACCTAGAGAACCAGTTTACTCATCTGGGAAATAACTCCAGCATGATTAAAACCTGTAATAATAAGTGAAGCGAAGAGCCAACATACTTCGAAAGGTAACTTTTGCTCATTTTCCGCACTAAATTATGTCTTTCCCATAGCCTTAAGTATAATTTTTAGACGATTTCGCAGATGAAATTCAAAGTAGGTGCAGAGTGTTTAATCAAGTATTCAGTACTGGCTTTGTATTTTGCTATTAACTTTCATATTTTAGTATTTTCAGAGTTACATTTTCATCAATATGCCGAAAAATTGTGTAATATTTGAAAGAGCGTTTCTGAGTTTTAAACATTTATTTAAACGAAACAAATATCACTTGAACATTTTCAGCCCTCGCCAAAAATTACTGTATAATTCCAAGTATAGACAATGTTACGACGTGCATGTGTGTTAAGCAGTCCTGCAGACGATGTGCAGCTCAAGCCAATTACTGAATGTTATGCGTGTTCCTATTTGTTCACAGTAAAACCCTGTAAATTAATCCACAACTAGGAGACGCAATTTTGCTTCTTACTGTTCACATTTTACATATGGATTTCTACAAAGTTCGTGTTATTTCGATCATTCAAATTTCCGTGTTCTTTCCAAAGATGCAGTTCCTTATATTTATAACATGAAGCTTATACGTACATGTTCAATTCTGATTATGTTTGTTCTATCGGTGATTACATCAAAATTGTATAACTGATCGTTAAGTCAGTCTGATTTAAATACAAAAGGATCCATGCCTGTAAAGCAGCCCATTACACTTCGGCGTGCTTCAGACAGTCCTCCTATTTCTCTTTTATTACTAACTAATTCATCACAAAACTATTTGGTGCATGATCACGCCATTTGTAAATCGCATTTGTAAAAAAAGACCGCTGATATCTGCTTTGCCAAATGTTTGCATATACTGCAGCATTGGCTTCTACATGTAAAATTATCTGGAGAAATGTCTCACTCGAAACAGTTACCTTTTGAAAATGCAAGTAGGTGTTAGTTGGTTGTGGAAATCTGTTTTATACGTACACTAAAGCAGACGTATTGTTCTGTGCATGACATGTTTGGCCACACTTGCTTAATTCATGTGCAAGCTATACAGAACAAGGGTCTGATCTCTATATACACGTAAGCTATATTAAGAAAATATTTCGGAATAATGTACATACATATGTTTTAACTGATTACATAACATAAATAAAAGCAGCAGCAATAATAATAATAGTAATAATAATAATAATAATAATATGAAAACAAATATCACACATAACTATAATATATGTATTTATAGTTTAAACATATAAATACTCGTACATTATCATAACATGCTGAAGCACGTTTGATCAAGAACTCTTGTATTTTCAATCTTGTAACCCATTTATAACGACCATCGTTATATGTGTAGAATGAAGTTTAAAAATTAAAAAACAACACCCTACAAGACTTCAATATGTGCCAGTGGTTCATGCGCCTCATTTAAGGCCCTTCCGTATAGCGGGTGGTGCAGAAATTCAGAAATGTCTAAGCTAGAGTACTATGTTGAAGAGAGCGGTACTCGCCGTAAGACACTTGCGTTACAAACTGCGCCCAACGTGTTAATACAAATATTACATTTGATAAATGCATTTTTTCTTTCTATCACCACAGTGGATGTGAAGGCCTTTCAATGACTTTTTTGCCATACTGAAACTTAACAAACTGCAGAGTAAATGACACTCAAATTTCAACATAATGTATACAAAATGAAATGATTCTTGTAAAGAAATTCCGAATTATGAATAAATATATGTCCAGGACCCTGGAGTGCTACAAACGGAAAGTGTACCAGTATTAGGAAACTTGTAATAAATCCTACCACTTTTAATCATAGTGCACACGTTAAAATCGTTTTCGTTAAAATAATATGATCTCACACTTATTGCTTTCTTTGAAACTTAAAAATGGAATCACTGAGTTAATGCGGTTTTGGAAAAGAGGTGGACCTGCTACCTGTCACTACAGTTCGTCTATTGCATTTTACATGACAGGCGGTTAAACTCTAACGTGACGTACAGGAAAATTTTTCTTGGAAATTCACTGTGAGTTTCGCCATTGCTAGCAGCAAGTTTTGCTCTTATTCATCTTATTTATTTGTGCTGACCAATTATAAATGGGCTTATACCTAAGCAGTCTAATTTTAACTAATTTTTATTTACTAACTATTTTTTGCGATATAAACAATATAAAAATCTGTCCTTTCCTTTTCGAAAGTTTTACTTTAGAGAACATGTAAATTTTCACATGACTTCGATTTTGAATCCCGCGCCCAAACTTTCCCAAGGAGACCTTTCACCTTGAGGCTGGTGGATGTTCTGGAGCCCCGGTATGGTTTGTGGGCCCCAGTTCCGCCCAAGGGGGACTTGTTCCTGTTCTTCTTGCGGGAACAACTCCTCTTCCTGAACAGGTCCCTCGCTCGCTCCGGATTTTCCAGTTTAAGGCGGATTTGTGTGAGGATGCCCACAAGAAGCTCGTCCACATTGTGGTTGATGCCCACAGAGGTCTCGATAAACTTGCAATCGTACGATGTCGCCATGTTCTTCCCTTCTGCAGCAAAGGTGAAAAGAGTGTGTGAATTGTTACATTTACTACAAGGACTTTCCCAATATACACAAATGCTATTTATCGCCGATTGAGACAAGGTTTTGTCGAAACTGAGAGACTAGTATGAAGACTACTTGTTCAAGTCTACGGATGAGATCCGTGCGGTCAGTCAGTTATGCTCTAACGACTGCGAATGAAGTCTCGGGGCAGATGTCGGAGGCAGTAACCGTGGTCTCTTTCCTGACAAATCCTGGCATTTTTCCTGGAGAAGGTGTGAACGTTTGCAAAAAATCACAGGAAAGGCTATTCCGTCCAGGGTTCCTGAACATTAATCAGAGGTGTTATTGCTGTTTTGTTGTGCTTACTGCAACATGGTTGCTTGCTTTTTTACTGTTCGACCATGAAGATGAGGGAAATATGTTATTCCGATACTTAGATGAAGTATCAGCTGACTATACATGTCACATACCAGGAGAAAGTACTGTTCAAATTGTAACACATGTATGTATGTGAGCGGTCCTGTTGTTTTGTGGGAGTGTGAAACTTGGTCCGTCATATTAAGGAAAAAACATAGGTCGAGGGCGTTTGAGAACAGAATGCTGATGAGAATGTTTGCATAGGAGGAGGTAGTCGCAGGGGCTTGAGAAAACTCCACAATAAAATATTTCGTAAGTTGTTGGTGAGAGTAACAAACAAATTTTAGTAGGAAAACCTAAATTAATATATCAATTAAGGGTTAAGTCGGTGATGGAAGGATAATAATAAAATAGTTCTTCAAGGGTGGGACATGAGGACGTGCACTGGATTCTTCTAGCTCTGAATAGGGTACAACGGTGGGATCTCGTAATAGCAGCAACGAGTTTTCGGGTTACATCTATTGAAGACGGGAAATTTTCTAACTAGCTGAGTGACAATTGACTTTTCAAGATGTACTCTGAGAGTCCATTTGTTCATATATCTTCAAGTAAGAAGGTGCGAATTGCATAACCGACTGAAAGCTTCCAACTTATATTCAGGTCTGCCTGGTAGGAAGCTCGGACGGGTCTCCTACTACCTTAATCGAAGTTTCTCGTGATTTTACCTCAGACTCTCCAGAAAGAAGTCGGGACAGTATCTCAGGTCAGGCCATAATCTCTTCCTTTTGAATCCACCCTAATTCATTATTCACAGTCATTCAATCATTCAACTTTAGATAGTATGAGATTCTGACAACATTGCTGAATAAACTGCAACTAATACGTGATAAATGAATAAAACATTGTTCATATGAAGTGGGCAATAATATCTTGACTTTCTTTCAACCCAGTTTTGCATGGGAGATTGGTTCTGACTGCCAAAAACTATATCACATCCAGGCTGAAATGACATGACTTGCCCGGACATAGTAAGGCAGGAGAGTATGAGACAGGACTATGATTTACTTTATGTAGAGGAAAACAGATTCAAGAATGCGGAGGGAAATGGCTATAGCACACAAGATTACAGAGAATAGAAGACTGTGAGATTTATAAAACATGTCGGTAAGCCGACAGAAGTATAGGAAGACCGAGAAGGAATGGGAAACCCGAGGAGATCTACGTTCTCATAAACTAGACTCGTTCTAAGATTCCCCATCTTTTATTTACTTACACCAAGGACGAGGGGTTAGGGTGAAATCGGCTGTCTACTTTACACGCAACGAACGTTCATCATAATACTGAGTATAATGTACGGTTGGGACAGCTTCAGAGTGTTAAGCGTATACAGCAACCTTTAATCCAGTATTCAGTCTTCCGGAATCCTCTTCCAACTGGCAGATACTTCAAAGAAAAGTTACTCTTTTTGTAACGTTATTCAAAAACAAATTTACAATGTATATGTGTTCACCCGCCACATGATAATTCTTCCAGCCGCCACTTGTAGCGCTACCCATCGTGTCTCACGCAAGTGCCATTACATCAGACTCTGGTTGAATCTGTATAGTATATACCCAAAATGTTTCACCCATAATGTGTTGTTTTGACATCGCGTTCGGTTTTTATCGCGAAACTAACAGATTCATATAACAGGCACGTGCCAATTCTCTAACGGAGTTCACTATATTATACTTGCATTTTGCTTCTCTCTTGCTGAACTGGCCTAACACTGCGATAACGCTGTTGCCTTGCATTTGGGTGCTGTAACTTCCGAAGCGTGACCATTAACCTAATCTACTGACTGAAAATATATTAATCTTTCTTACTTTCCCCAAACACATCCCGTAATACCACTTCAGAATATGCCATGACAACTTCAATTCATCATTCACAATTACCTCAGCATAACCGATCATTTACTACAAAACTTAGCTTTTCAGAATGAATTTGTTCTGCTTTGTCTTTCCGACGCATGTACATTTTCTCCGGTCTCTGTTACTCAAAAATAGGACACTACCGACTTGTTTCAGTTCCATAATTGTTTGCGGTCGAGAAAGATACATCGGTTTGCTTGAGGATGCGGCCTTAAGGGATTCTTACTATTTCGAGGGCAATTTTTCCCTTCGGTTGGGGTTAGTAGTCGGAGACGAAGTGAAGAATTCGTAGAAAAACTTAAAAGTGTTTGAAACATTAAGCAATTGAGCTTTCTAGAAGACTCTGGAGAGATCATGCGTAGAGACTCACAACCGCTCAAGTACATTACGTGGAAGTACAAGCCGAGAGGACACAACGCAAATGGGTGACAGAGGAAGAGGAGGCGGGAGAAAATTTTACGGAATCTGAGGGGGGGGCGGTGGTGGTGGTGGTGGTGGTGATGTTAGTGGTTGTTTTTGAAGATAATAACTTTAAAAGTGTTTTAATATATTCCATTAGAAATAATAATGGAGAATTTGCAGTTATTTCTATAACGTATTTTTGAGTTATTTTTGTAGTTGAACCAGCAATGAAAATTGTCTATGAAGAGACTTGACTAGGCATGACTGAATTCATTTTTATGATTTCGTGATAAGTGAACATTCGTATATCCATGTACCAAGGAGGTTAAAGACAAGGGGTTCAATTACTCGAGTCGTACATCCAAGTGGAGAAATGCATGAATTCAGAACAGTGAGTTATAAGTCGTGTTACGAAAGAGCAGACACACAATATTTTAAGAATTTTAGAATGTTCGCTGTAATATTATATACTAGTATGTTCCCTATTCCTGCGTTTAATAAAAGAAGAGCTGCATTTAAATTATTTAGTAACCTTGTGACAGGTCGGCATATTGTACAAACCTCTGTAGTAAAGTCTGTGAACCGTATCCACAGATGAACAAATGGATATAATATATATTGTCGCGTATTGGGCGTATAACGCGACAAATAACTTCACGCCGTATTTGATATAGCGAATTTTATTTCACATTCGCACTTACAATCACACAATTGACAGTTTTACAATTACTGCTATCTGCAGTATCACAAATAGTACACTTTAAATGCCAGAATACAAATGACTGGTTGCTGGCTAACTCGGAACTAACTCGGAGGTAGCTCGAGGACTCACTCGTAGGTAGCTCCAGGACTAACTGACTGACTGTGAATGGCCTTCGCTGCTCCTTATGTAGCCCTGATCCGACAACTGTCGTCTGGTGCCTTGTTGCTAGCCACGCTGTTCGGAGTTGTTGACTGCTGCCTAGCAACCGCGATATCCCTCGGTGACTTCACCGCGCGTTGCGCGTTGCATAGCTACCAGGATGCGGGGTGATTACTCGCCTATTACGCGAGCGCTACGTTACGCTTCGTGCCGCTGGGGGGGTAGGGGTCAACATGTCACACTGCTCCCTCCTTAAGGCTGTTCGTCCCGAATAGCCTAACGGTGCATCCCCGTTCCTTTTCCTTGGTGGCTGTGCTTGCGGTGTCTCCCGTTGTTTCGGCTACTCTTCTTGCAGCGACTATTCTTCGTCCGTTACATCCGCTCCCCTCTTTAGACACAGCTCGTCTCGAGCGGTTTCCTTTCAGCTCGCCAGAAGATCCAGTCGTGTCCCATTCATCCATTACTTTTATTCTGTGGCACATTCACTCTCTCTGGGGAGGCCGGTTCTTCTACATTACCGGTTCCTCCTCTGCTTGGAGTCTTCTTTTCCGTTTTGGAGGCGGTCGACACTTCCAACGTGTCCAGTCTTTGTTTATGTCTTCCATGAGAAGTTCATTATGTCGACGTAACAGCCCTTGATGCGTTGTTTGCACTGACTGACGTCGTCGTTCCTCCTGATCTTCCAGGCGCTTGCTGGCACGAGACCGTGGCGCCAAGTCCTCTCTCCGACATCTGAAGGTTCCCTGGGGAGTTTCCTTCTTGAAGTCATTTCTCCAACGTCGTGCCACTGTCGCGCGACGGGATGTCTTCCTGCAGGTGGCAGCCAACTTTATCCGGGACACAAGATCTCCTCGGGTCCACGATTTATTGAAGATGTTTCTCCGGCGCCATGACACTCTTGCATGGCTGGACACCTTCCTGCTGACGACGGCCAATTTATAATGGGGTCCGCAATTTTTCCGTGTCAGATTCTTCATATTTCGTCGATGACGGTCCCTGCGCCTTTTATTCTTCGGTTCTCCGACCGGCATTACTTCGGCGTCTTGTAGGGGTACCTCT